TATAACTGTTCACTTGCCTTTTATTACTAGTGGAAATCTACACATCCTCAGCTTTTCCCCTCACCATAACACGGTATTTCCCTAGTGTGGCCGTCAGAGGCCCAGGGTTCAGGTGCTAAGTGCAACTCCCTTGAAGAAAACTTCCCTTCAGAAGGGAAACTCTACAGGGCCCAGCAGTTAAAAAAGAAGAGACCTCCCAAAGCTCACAGGAGAAACCCTTGGGACTTGTCTACACCTTAGCCAGGGGGCTGCAAGGCGGACAGGCCCCAGCTACTACTCAAGGTTCTTCTGCACAGGAAACTGCTGCTTCCATCCCCCAGGAGAAAGCCTGACATTTCACAGCAGGGACCACAGAGAGCCTTTTCAAACAATCAGGGCTCTGCACGGCACACAGTCTACCTGGCCGCCAGCCTCTCCCTTTCTTCTAGAGGGTCTTGCATCTCTGAGAAACACCATGTCTGATTTTCTCCGAGAGCTTCATTCTTCCAGAGCGCCATGCTGCACAGTGGCTATGTTCCCTGAGCAGGGGAAGAGGAGCCCTCAATCATCTCACGGGAAGATGATAGCTACTGCTCGGGGATTCCAAGATGTTTTACTGCAGCTTTGCACAAACTGATTATATTTAAAGCTCCCTCAGGGAGTGGGGGTGGGGTGGGGCTGGAAGGGAAGAAGGTTCAGGAGACCTGTGCTGGCTAAGTGAGGAGCTGCTGGACCCAGGGGAGCAGGCTTGTTTAAATACCAGCAATCAGCACTCCCCAGAGCATGTGCATACACAACAGCAGGACTCCAAGGGCTCTGAAAGGGTTAAATGCTCAGGCAAAGGCCTGCACTTCTATCAAAATGCTCCAGATGGAAATTACGAAAATCCACTTCTCAGCTCTGTGATGCACACACACTGTTCTCTTAAGACATGACAGAGAGAGAGAGAGAGAGAGAGGAGACTCCTAATGTTCTCAAGAAAGAGAATCTGAGTGCTCAGTCAGCACACAGCGCCATGTTGTTTGAAATTGTTCCCCCTGGAATATTTGCATTAATTGCCAATGTCAAGCTTTCTGGGGGACTATACAAATTTAAGGAATGGAGAGGCAAAAAGAAAGGGGCCTTGAGCAAGGAAGGACAACAGCCAGGGCTGTAGGCAGCAAGGTGAATTCACCCAACCAGTCATCTCCAGTACCATGCCTTCTGCCTCACTACCTTTCACTACTCAAGGTTGTGACCATGAACCTGACCAGGGTTGGCAAAAATTTTCAGAGTAGCTGAGGGTGGTGGCACACGCCTGTGATCCCAGCACTGGGGAGACTGAGGCAGGAGGACTGCTGCAAGTTCAAACCCAGCCTGAACTACACAGCAAGACCCTGTCTCAAAAAAAACAACAAAAAGAATTTCCAGAGATTAGTATATTCGTTTTGTAAATTAGAAAAGATTACATAGAAAGGCTAAGTAAGAATATTAGTGCTTCTGAGCCTGATACTGAAAGTCATGAACTTTCAAAGGAATCTGAACACCTGCAAACCAGAAACAATGATGGTTTTTAAAAAGGCAGCTACTGGGCAGGTTGCCTAAGGAGGCACGCCCCTCATAAAACCACACTGGGGTCGAGTTGGGGCTGCTGCCTCAGAAGCTCTTCAGGGCACACGCAAGCAGGTAGCTTACAGGGAGGCAAAGCCACAGGCCTGAGGGAGTTCTGCGAAGTCCACTGAGAGAGCACTTGATTCAAACCATGCTAACTGAAAAGCAGAGCCAGGGCTCCTGGTAGACACACAGAGAGCAGCAGGGACAGTTCACCTGTTTGTCTTGCACACAAGGAAACTGACGTCCAAATAAATACCCTTTGTTATTACTGGATGAACTTAAACTAGAACTCAAGTTTCATTTCTGTCATTTAGCATCTAGCACTTTAGAAACAGATGGGCATTGCAGCCTCACCCATCAGCCCAAGAAGGCTCACTAACAAAGGGTAGGCCGTAGAAGAGCCCAGTGTTGCGCGATTTACATACACTGTCTCACTGAGTGCTCACAGCTACCTTCATAAATATGTGTTATTTTGCCTGCTTTTCACATTAAGAAACTGAGGTGAGGGCCGGGGATTTAGCTCAGTGGTTTCACTGCCTGCTGCACAAGCGCAAGGACCAGAGTTCGATCCCTGGTACCAAAAAAAAAAAACCAAAGAAACTGAGGTGAGGCAAGGCTTGTAATGAGCAGCAAAACAGAGATTTAAACCTGGGCCCTCTGTCTCCAACACTTGCACTCATAATCACCAATCCAAACTGCTTTGCTGTTACAGCAATTTTCTTTTCTTATCCTTATCCTAACTTCTGTAAGAGAAATAAGGCTGGCAGCAGTGAGAGGCCCACAGAACACATAAAAAGCTGAAATTCACAATTCTGACTCAGGGCTTCTAGGCAGCTCGAGGCACAGCCAACCTCGAACCCGTGCCCTGTCTCCAGATCCTGTGCCTTTCCACAGAATGTGCAGGTTCGAGAACATAAGCTTCCTGAGGTGAGGATTCTGTTGTCTTCACAAGTATATACCAGCCCCCAGGACACAAAGTAGGTAGGCACTCAATAAACAGCTGATGAATAAAGGAATGAAGTCCAACTGCACGATCTGGCTGTGTAACCTTAGGAGGGCTCTGTATTCTTTCTCAGCCTCAGTTTCCTCATGTGGTGAAGAGGGGGACAATACCCCCTTCCTGGACCAGTGCAAGGGTTAATTTAAACCAGACCATTCATGTAAAGCACTGGGGACAGGACCGAACATAACGAGCACACAAAAATGTAAACTATTAACATTACTACTACTATTCTTCATGGACAGATTTGGGCTCCTTAATAAGTTTTTCTTTTTTTCCACCCTGATCAGGTAAGTTTCATACTAAAAGAGAGAACAGGGAGTTCCGAGTCGGTAAAGCTGCTCCTGGCTTCAGATCTGCTCCCACCTAGCTGTGTGACCTTGGACAAGCCTCTTTGGGTCTCTGTACTCTCCTCAGCTGCAAAATGAGGGACTAAACTATTCAAATCCATTCCATAACCACTCACAGAGGTCCTTCTGTGAGGAAGACACCATGTCTTGTCACCTATAAAATTCTATGATCCTGAAGAGTGTCCAGGAAAAAATACAAAAGCAAAGCTAGTCTCCTTCCTGTGGCAAGGTTGAAGAGAAACCCCAAGTAGCTGACTGCATTACATCATTTCAAAGAGCAGTGTTTGTACATGAAGTGTACAATTTTGAGACACTCATGACAAATCCTTTACCAATAAAAAAATTGGCAGATTCTATTAACACCGGTCAGCTCTGAACCTTCCAAAAAATAAACCTGTAAAATCACTTTGCACCTTAAGTCAAATGGTGAGCTTCTGGAAAATCTGGAAAAGTCAAAGTTATTAACACTCCCGATGGCAACAGTTACAAATACGATACATATATTTTTTAAATGTCCTATCTGGGTAAAACTGCAGGGGGGAATTCCCAGAGCAGAACACACTGCATCTGGACAGGTCACAGAGGCCAGGGGCCTACTGTTTACAGAAACAGGCTGGGATTAGGAACAGTGACAAGAGGCCAAGATCTCAATTATAACTCACAGCCACACCTCTCTCCATCCCTGTCCAACTGAGCTATCAATCATCAACTCCCCCATCTCTGTAACAAACCTACCAATATTTGCAGGCAAGTGAGAGGAAGGTTGCCTAGTGCACCTCCAGCACTGACCAAACTGATGACACAGAAAAGGCCTGCAGACACAGTGGCTACTTCAAAGTGCCTTCCAACCTGCCAAGAGACAAGGGAGCTGCCCCCTTCACACTCCACCCCTACTCCTAGCCTAGGCAGTCTTTAAAAGGGAGACATGGTCCCTCCCAAGTCCTCTATGAGAGAAAAAGGTCTCTCCTAGCACTGGTGCAGGGAAGGAAGGAGGGGCCCCTCCCTCTGTACTCTGAAACAAAGGAAAACCCCGAGCTCCAACCATGTGGTATAACATTCAAGGCCACCCATCTCTCCCACTCCCCAGGTAAGGTCTCAATGGGCTGGAGCCACATGCCCTTTCCAGTGACTGGTCAGGAAGGGGCAGTGCCTTGCAAATACATGGTAGGGCTCTTTCACAGGCACAAACCCCATGTAAGGGGTTAAGAAAACGCTATCTGGGTTTGGGCTCTGACTGACCAGCCAAGTCAGCCGGTAGACTAGATGAGACAGGGCACTTACTTTCTCCATGTCTACGTTTTGTTTTACCCTTCACATTTTTGCAGAAAGGGAAATGGGGCTTTAAAAGCACACATTCTGGAGCAGAGGATGACAGCACAGAAGAGTTAAACAATTATGTCTTCCCATTTTCCAAAATCAGTAACACTCTGAAACCCTAACATCCCAACTCTATTCAGATACAGGTGAGGACAGAGGCTGGGTATGGGTGGCCTTATTCTGTCTGTCCTCTGATCTCCACCGATACAAGCAGCGTCACCAGGGACCAGGTAGGTACAAGGTGTACCCAAGATGGCTAGGGACTTTCTGGGGCCAGTGCCATAACAAATCTCACGCTTTAATACAATGCATTGGAACAAACCCCGCCTATCTCAGGGCCCTCCGAATGGTACACCTTCTCAGGGTTGCCTTTCTGTCTGGACTCTTCGACCTCGGAAATAAACGTACAAACACCTGTCAGATCTCAGCTGTCCTTTGAGGACACCTGACTCAAATGCCCAGAGGCAAACTGCTGCCTCTTTTCTACCCTTGGACCTCCTGCCCCTCCCCCACCCTGTTCAACCTGGGGGAGGGACTGCCAAAATCCTGGCCAGCCCGATACACGTTCTGAAAGCCCGCTCCGAAAATCGCTTCCCTGCCCAGCCTGGGGAGGCTCAGACCCTCCCCGTGGAACCACCGCTGGGGTCTGCCGGCCCCACCTGCTCCGCCCAAAGAAATGAACAGCCTGCACATCGGGATGGAAATATAGGCCTCACCAGTCCACACAGCGTGTGCATTATGCTGTTTTTCAAAGCCCTTACCTTTGACCTGAGTATCGTATTCTGCTATGATCTCCTTATCCTTTTTGAATTTGGCTGGAGACGTCATGTTTTCCTTTTCTCTTCCAAATTCGAATTGAGAATTGATAGATCCACCAGAAAAATCCAACCGCCGAAATCAATACCTCCAAGACCGCTTCTCCCAAGAGCAAAAGGGGCCCCCCGCGGTGGTCTCCAGCGCTCCAGGGAGCGCGGGCTGCGGGCTAGGCAGGCGGCTACGGCGGGCACATGCAGACGGTGGGCGCTGGGGCCAGGCGCGGCGGCGGGTTTCTGTGCTAGAGCCGGAGCCGCAGCCTCAGCATTAGCCGGGAGAACTGCAGCGCCCAGAGGCTGGCCTGGGGTCTGACATCAACGACACAGGAGGGGAATGGAAGTCCTTTCGCACAACATGGTGTGGGGGTGCGGGGGTGTGGACGCGCCCAGCTGTGTCCCCGGGAGGAACGGGTCTGTATCTGGTGCCGGGGAGGGCTGGGCGAGCTTCGCGGGTTTTGGTCGTACAGGCTCGAAGATACAGCAAATCAAATCCCAGACGGGAGCCGAGCCGCGGCAGCGAGGACTGGATCGGAAGTCGTCTGCTCCGGTTCACTTGCCTGTAAATGCAGGAAAAGGGGGAGGGGGCGATCAGCCCGAGCTCAGATCCTAATCGTGGCGGGGGTGGGGTCGCGGACGTCTCTCGGAGTCCCGCCTGGGGCCATTCATCTCGGCCAACGCTGCCGGACCGGCAGAGCGGAGAGCAGCGAGGTGGGGAGGAAGGAAGCTCCCTCCGGATTTTGTTTTAAGGCTGAAAGAAAAGACTTTGGAGCGGCGGCCGGCCGGGCTCCGGGCGGGGACTGCGGCACCTCGGCGGCTTTCCGACCCCTGGGAGCGCCGGGCAGCCTCCAGCCCGAGGGGGCCCTCCCAGCCCGGCCGCCGACACAGCTCCCGACCCCCGGGGGGCGCCTCCCTGGACATCAAAGGGGATCAAAGCTGAAGAGAGACCAGCCACCCGGGCACAACTCTTCTTTCCCTCCCGCCCCTCCTCCCAGTTGTTTTGTTTTGGGTTGCTAGCTTCTCCTGGCAGCGGGGGGGGGGGGGGGGGCAGAAAAAAGCCTGCTCGGCACGGGACACATCCAGGAAAACAATGTGGTCGGCCGAATCAGGAAACGGGTTAGAGGCGAGGGTCGGAGCCGGGAAAACCGAGGGATCGGGGGTGGAAGGCAGCCGTCACCTCCCCTAAACCAGGGACGGGAGTGACTCTACATGCCACCATCCTCAGTGTGTGTGGTCACCCAACCCCAGGCGAGGGTGGGGAGAGGTCGGTGAGGGTCGCACCGGGAGGAGATCCCGCCCCGACCGGCCCGGGAGGGAGGCGGGAGGGAAGCGGGCGGAGCGCAGCGCCCGGGCGAGGGGCGACCCTCCCTCCTCGGCCGCCCCTGCCCCTCCGGGGATGGGAGGAGGAGGAGGCTCCCCCGCGTGTCCCCCGCTTCCCGTGGCTGGAGAGAGGGGAGAAGGGCGAGGCGGCAGGGTACGGGCGGCTGTGAGGTGGGATCCCGGGCCGGCGGGAGCTGCACACGCCCGGAGGCGGGAGAGGGCAAGGAGAGGACGGCCCGGAGGTGCGGGGCGGCGAGGAGACTGCGGGGCGCTGGGAGGCCGCGCGACGCGGGTCTGCGGGGGAGGAGGGCCCTTCGGGGCGGGCCGGGCGGCCGGCCGGGGCCGCTCGGGGAAGAGCCCCGGAAGCTGAGGAGCTACCATCCTTCGGCGCACGGCCCAGGCTGGGAGACTGGGGAGCCGGGCTGGGGGGGCTGGGGGGGCTGGGGAGGCTGGGGGGCGCGGAGCCCCGGAGACTCGCGGCCCGGGGAGGTATTATGGGCTGTGCCGGGACCTCGGAGAGGGCCGGGGGCGCGGCCTGAGGGGCTCCGGGCGGTGGCACCGCGCCCTCGCTTCCCGCCCCGGCCGGGTTTCTTCAGTCAGGGCTTCAGCCTGGCGCTCGGGAAGGAAAGGGAGAGGGAAGGCGCCTTTACCTGGCTCCGACGCGATGGGTCCCAGACCCCCGGCTCCGCTTCCCACTCAGAGCTCTCCTCCCCTCTTGCCAGCCACCCGCTTCTACGCAGCTCAGCCCCCCAGTCCCGGGACCAGCTTCAGCCAACTCCGCAGGACCCCGCCGGGAAGCAGAGCCCACCCCCTAGCGAATCACCGCCCGCTTTCTATCGACCGATGGAGTCTCTAGCCAATAGGAATAGCTGATCGGGAGAACCCAGGAACGAGGGGAGGAACGGACGAAACTTGGAGGTGTGACCAGCACTCACTACCGAGGCGTGGCCCCACTGTAAGCTCCTCCCCGGGCTGTCGAATCCCACTGTAGAACTTATGGGCGGAATTAAAATGAACCAACAGCCAAACACAAACTCTTGAGAGACGGCACGACCAATTGGACTGGGGTAGGGAGGCGGGGCATTGAAAGGAATTTTCGCCAATAGAGAGTAGGGAGTGGCGGGGACCGTAGAACATTCTCCAATAAGAAGTGCGAAGGGCGTGTGTGACAAGGGAGGAAGGGTTTGCCCGAACCTGCCGAGGCCGGCCAATGAGATGGCAGGCGGGGCCAAGTTCGACCAACCAGAAAGCCGACCTGATCTCGGCACCGTTACTGGGGCGGGGCGTGTGGTCTCCAAGCCACTGAGCGGGTCGGTGGAAGCGGCCGGCCTTCCAATGCGCGACGTGGGAGGGCTCTACTTCTCCCAATCAGTGCGCGGCGCTGGCAATTCAAAATGACAGCCGGGTGCAAAGGCAGAGAAAGCGGAAGAAGGAGCCGAAAACGGACCTTGCGTGGACGCAGCCTAGAAGGCGACCTCCGCCCCGCTCCGCCACCACCACCACCGTGCTCGGGAGCGGCCTCTGCGGGAGAGCCGACGGGAGGCGCGGTGCGGAGGCCGGCGTGCGGGCCAGCCTGGGGCCTGAGTCCTGGGCCCGGCAAGAGCGGAGTGCCGTGGAGACCCGGGAGCCGAGAGCAGAGCACCCTTCGGACGGCAGAAAACTGAGAGGTTTTCTCAAACCGCGCTCGCCTCCTCCCTCCACCCCAACTCCACTCTCTGCTCCCAGAGTTAAAGAGGAGTCAGAATTGCTGCTTCCCGTCTGCTCCCACTCAATAAATAGTACTTTTACCCATCCACCGGGAAAGCTGCGAAATACTCTTCCCTCCCAGTTTCAGTGCTTAGAGAAGAACCCGAGACCTCGTGATCTTTCCTTTTTTTCTGGCCAGGGGGAATCAGAGTAGCAAGAGTCCTGTTCTTTGCTTTTTCAAAATTCCCGCGCCTCCTCATCCGCGGGACGTTATGACTACCAGCAGCTGTAGTTTCAAGGACCGATGCGTGTCCATCCTGTGTTGCAAATTCTGTAAACAGGTGCTCAGCTCTCGGGGAATGAAGGCCGTCTTGCTGGCTGATACCGACATAGACCTTTTCTCGACAGACATCCCTCCTACCAAGTAAGTCAAGCTAAATGGGGAGCGTGTAGGGCTTGGATCTCGGGAGTCAGCGAAGAGGTTGTGGTCTGGCGTCCCAGCCACTCCCAGGAGTCTGATGATGCCCTCGGAGTAGATCTAAGTGGGCAGACTGTCTGGACATAGTCTGTGGTTTAGCCGAAGTGGTCAGTCCTGATGTAATGCCTCTAGTTCAATTATAGTCACCTGGCCGTGCATTCCTTATATCGGATCCCTGCCCAACCATCCTGTTCCTCCGAATCAAGTCCATGACTTAGACTCGAGGTAAATTCAGGCGAGATTTTCTGGACTCTTACAGATACATCACGTAAGGTTTTCATATTTATCCGTAAAGTTTTACGCCCAAACCAAAAGTTTTCTACCATTATTTGCAAGTGGCATGCTCAATCAGCTCCGCTGTCCATTATTTAAAGTTTGTTGCTCAACCCCCTCGCAACCCCACAGTGAGAGAAACCTAAATAGATCTTTATGGGATGAAAAAACTTAGCCTTAAGATAATTCCTTATCCCCCATAAGGCCTATTTTGGATATTGCACATCAGTTTGCATAACTGAATCCTTTTAAAATCTGTTTTCTGCCACTTCTCACTTTTAAGTGTAGCCTCCTTAAATTTTGCTTCCTATTTGATACAATAGCCATTTTATTTTACTTAAATATACCTTTATTTAGCTCTAAAAGGTACTTTTCTTTCCATGATCAACACATATGCCCTACGTGATTTCCAAGAGTTTGTTCTTTATTGAAACTTTATTAAAATGAAAATAATTACCCAAAATATGAATGAACTATTCTCCAAGTCCTCCAAGGCACAGATTTAAAAGGAAGTTATGACAGCCTTTGAATGAAATTCATGATAATTACAGAAGTTTTTAAAGGTTTTAAATATACTCAAGTCAAGCTGTGGACTCTTCCTGTCTTGAAATATTTTGTGAATTGGTTTAAGTATAGTCATGGCTAACTGCAAAGCTAAAGGCTCTAATTTATTGCAGAGGTAAATGGGTTAATATTTAAGTTTGTGCATATGTAGCTGTGTGTTGCAAAAAAAAAAAAAGGAAAAGAAAAAAAGCACTAGACAATAAATCACAGAACCTTTCCAACAACTGGTTCTACGATTTATTGTCTGATGCTTTTTTTTTAGTAGCACATACAAAAACATAACATAAAAACTCATTCATTTCTATAATAGCTGTAGTAATAGGCAAACATAAGGAACACTCAAATATGTGGATTGTTTGTTATAGGTTAGACTACAGCCTAGAATAGAAGCAAGTCTTTTCTATTGTTCTTTGTCAGAGATATAATGATAGACCAATGTAGTAAGATATGTGTGAATCAATGAACACGTAAGATTTTTAAAAATAGATTTTCCAGGTATGTATAGTGAGCTCATAAATATAAACTGATTTGTACAAAATATACTGTAATTCTACTTTACAGTCTCTTTCTGCTCTTTAGATTTACAAAATTTGTACTAAATGACAAAAGTACATTCTATGGTAAGAATATGGAGGGAGAAATTAGAATCCTTGTATACTGTGGAAATGTAAAATGGTGCAGCCCCTATGGAAAAAAGTATGGTTATCAGTAGTTCCACATCCAGGTATTTGCCTAAAAGAATTCAAACCAGGCCAGGCCAGGCGGGTGGTGCATACTTGTAACAGCGCTCCAGGAGGCTAAGGCAGGAGGATTGCAAGTTCAAGCCCACCAAGGGCAATTTAGCAACTTAATGAGACCCTGTCTCAAAATGAAAAAGAGCTGGGGATGTAACTCAGTGCAGAGGCCCTAGGTTCAATCCCCAGTACCACACACACATACATACACACACACACACACACACACACACACACACACTCTATATATATATACACACACACATATATATATACACACACATATATACACACACACACATATTCAAAGCAAGATCTTGAAAAGATATTTGGTTTGCACACTCATATTCATAGCAGCATTATTCACAATAGCTAGTAGATAGACATAATCCAAATGTCATGTCCATTGACTCAACTGATAAGTGAATAAATAAAATATTTATACATACAATGGCATATTATTCAGCCTTGAAGAAAATCCTGTCATACACCACAACATGGATGAATCATAAGGATAGTATGCTAAGTAAGATAAAGCAATCTCAAAAAGACAAATGCTACAAGATTCCACTTACATGAGGTATCTGACATAGACAAATCTTAGAAAGTAGAATGGTGGCAGCCAGGCACTGGGATCTGTTTCATCTCAAGTATAGAGTCTTGCAGTACGAAGAAGGTCTGGCGATTCGTTGCATGACAGTGTGACTATATCTAACTCTTTTGAACCGTGCATTTAAAAATGATGATGATAAATTTTGTTATTTTTTTTTTTGCCACAGTTCAACTTTTTCAGGTATATTTGACTGTGAACTTTTTTGTTCTCCAGCGCAGTGGACTTCATTGGAAGATGTTATTTCACTGAAATCTGCAAGTGTAAACTGAAGGACATCGCGTGTTTAAAATGGTAATTGGTGGCCATATTCTAGGTAGGCTGGGCTTGGAAGATGAATGTTGGCACCGAACACCAGAGAAAGGTTCAGTGGGCTGCAGCGAACACTGGTCTAACCCATGCAATGAGCCATTGCAAAGCCATTTGTTACTTAGAGCCATTTTTAAAGTGGGTCTTATGATACTTCACATTTGTATATGATTTTGTAATTTTTCAAAGTGCACTCACAGTTATCTGATTTTTTTTCTCCAGAATAAGACAGTGTATGTGGGGGGGGAACACAGCCCTGAGAATTATAGTCATAAAAATAAGATTTGAACCCGGGCCCTTCCTTCACTGCCTATATGATCTTGAGTAAATTCCTTAAACCTCTAAAGCTCTGAACTTTTGTTTCCTTATTTAATTTTCTATGTTATTAAGATAGATATTAAAATGTCTTCTGTATTTACCTTGTAAAGTTGTTGTGAAAAGGAAATGAATTATGAATGTTAAAAGGACTGATAAACTATAAATAAAATATAGATGCGAGCTATTGCTATTATCTTTTGAAAGGTAGACAACTTTGGGTTATTATTCCCACTCTGGAAAAAAAAAGTTGAAATTTTCTCAATTGAATGAGGTTCAAGTTACAAATTGTATTTTCTTTTCTATTTTTGGTACTCGGGATCGAACTCAGGTCCTAGCACTTACGCAGCAGGCGGCGAAACCACTGAGCTAAATTCCCGGCCCTACAAATTGTAATTCTAATGATTTAAATCACCAAACTATTCCGTGTTAGCGACTAATTGAATTCATTCAATCTATACTTCTATTGAGGGCCTACCGCGTGCAAGTCGTAGGGCAGTGATGGCGAACTTTTTAGAGACCAGGTGCCAAACTCCAACTCAAAACCCACGTATTTATCCCAGAGTGTCAGCACTGCAATTAAACGTGAATCCTAGGGGCCGGGGATTTGGCTCAGTGGTTTTGTCACCTGCTGCCCAAGTGCAAGGACCCAAGTTCGATCCCCGGTACCAAAAAAAAAAAAAAAAGTCTCAAACGTGAATCCTGAGGTTTATAGGTTAGAAAACACACCTGTTATCTGACGCTCAGCCACTGGGCTCTGCGTGCCCACTGCAGCACTTGTGCCATGGGTCTGCCACCACTGTTAGAAGGAACGCAGTAATAAGCGAGATAAAATCATTGGCATTTGGACATTTTATTCTAGTGGGAAAATGGTCACAATCAATATGTATTTAAGATATTTAATATAGTGGGAAGTTCTCCAAAGGAAATAATAATAAATGATAGAGAGTAATAGAAATAGGTGAAAGTCTTTAGATATCATAGTCAGGAAAGCCGTGAACTGACACCATTGGAGTTTCATCCTGGGTGAAAAGAAGCCAGAGGAATAATGTTCTAGGCAGGAGAACAGCAAATGTAAAGAACTCATGCAAAAAGAGGTTTCAACGCCAGATGTGGTAGCACACACCTGTGATCTCAGTGTTCTGCGAGCCTGAGGCAGGGTCAAGCCCAGCCTGGGCAACATGGTGACTTAGCAAGACCCTGTCTCAGAAAGTGCTACTGCCTCCCAAAAAGCTTCATCTGTTAAAGGAATAAAAAGATTTTGAACATGGAGGGGAGGGACTAGTATGAATAGGTTAAAACATACTCAGGGGCCGGGGATTTAGCTCAGTGGTTCCACTGCCTGCCTTGCAAGCTCAAGGTCCCGAGTTCATCTCTGGAACGAAAAAAAAAACATACTCAAAACTGGGCTCGGTGGCTCACACCTGTAATCCCGGCACTCAGGAGGCTGAGGCAGGAGGATCACAAATTGAAGCTCTCCTAGGCTGTACAGCAAGAAAAACAGTCAGAACCTAGATAACCTGAAGCGATGTTGTGCAATAGAAATATTCAACCCAATTTAAATTTTTCTAATATTTTTACAAGTTAAAAGAAACATGTATAGTTAATATTAGCCACACATTTTATTTAACACAGTATATCCAAGATTTAACACAGTATGTCCAAGCTATTATCATTTCGACATGAAACCCAAATAATTAATGGAATAATTTTTTTTTTTTTTAATTTTGGCAGTAGTGGTATTGAATGAACCCAGGGCCTTCACCCTGAACTCCATCCCCAGCCCTTTCTATTTTTTATTTTGAGACAGGATCTTTGTAAGTTGCCCAGGCTAGTCTTGAATTTACA